GAGTAATAATAGTGTGTTGGATTACACAAAAACGCCAGAGTGAAATGAAACAGTCTTTATATTTTATTTATACAATGAATAAATTTATTTACAGTTATAAGAATAACATAGGCTGAGAATAACTAATCTGTATAAAATATAGAATAAATAAATAAATAAATAAATAAATAAATAAATAAATAAATAATTGAGTAAATAATTTTGATAAACTTTTAACTAAAAAATGATAAACGTAATTATAATTAAAATGATAATAACATGAGCTATATTATGGTATGGTATATAATACTGAAAATCAGGTTTTATGTTTTGGATGAATAACAATAATACTGTACAGGCAGCATATAGGTGAATATAAATTTATTGAGACATGCAAGTAATTAATAATGAAAGTGTCAATGACACTGTAGCTCACCACAAAAAAGGACACAAATGAGTGGGGTAAGAGAAATCAGTTTTATATTAAGCAACCATCACGTGCATTATAGAAACGATTGCCATCTGTATATCGCAATAATTTAGAAACCAAAATGAATCACAATTTGTGACGGTAGATGGCGCTACACCCGCTTTGTAGCCATGCCTTTATAAATAAATAGGTTATGCTGCGTTCCGACATGTTTTGTAATCTTACTTTAATATAGATTTTTTCGCAGGGTGGAGAGGATATACAATTTTACATTAAAGATATTGTCAATGAAATCTTGTAAAACAACAGACGAGGTGACGACTGGGTGTCTATACACCTATGCTATATAATTGCCGAACCCTACCTAATTTGCAAAAAAAAATTTAATATAAAAACCCCTAGCCCTTAACAGACTGTTTGTTATCTGCGTGTCTATATAATATGCTATATAATTGCCAAACCCTACATAATTTGCATAAATTTTTTTGTAAAAAATCCAAAACCCCTGGCCCTATTCATCTCAAATACAAAATGAGCACAATCCGTTGAACCTGAACTGACTAATGGCAATTCGCAATTTTGCCAAAAAAAATTGCTGTGGCTTAAAGTACGTCGACTGGCGTGCCTTTAAAAATAGGACGTTTCTATATGGGAGCATAGCAGTAACAACTACACCCAATTTCAAAATGTGGGTCAAAGGTGCTGAGTTATCGTTGACCGAAACAAATGTTTGAACGACGGGGACTGACGAACGGACGGACGACGGACGTACGACGGACGACGACCCATGGCAATAGCTCAGCTTGACGATGTCAAGGTGAGCTAAAAATGATAATTATTATAACTAATAATTATTATAGTAATAATTATGGTACTAGTAATACTAATAATATAATGTAGATTTATGTAATTGTAGTAGTAGTAATTATAAGAGTAATAATAGTGTGTTTGATTATACAAAAACGCCAGAGTGAAATGAAACAGTCTTTATATTTTACTTATACAATGAATAAATTTATTTACAGTTATAAGAATAACATAGGCTGAGAATAACTAATCTGGATAAAATATAGAATAATTATAGAAAATATATAATGAAACGTTTACTTCAATTTGTCTGACATATATGTATATTTTATCTATTATCTATGTCTAAAGTCCTGTAGTGATTCCCGGATGACGATGATTCGGGCTCTTCCTCGTTGGTTGATGCCGCTGTTCGTCGTGTGATTGAAGGCGCGGATTTTCGTACTGTTTAGAGCATGGCTCTTGATGTCTGATCATTGCTCTCGAATCGTCATACATGTCTCGATATTTGACGTTGCCCCGAATCGTCTGATACGTTGTCTCCCCAAATATGTTGATGTTTATGTTTGAATCGTGACCAAGACTCCCTCTTCATTAGTCATCATACATTCACCGATATCCTCAGAGTGCAGTGAACACCAGCACAGATGTGTGCCTGAAAAATATTATAAGAACATTAACACTTCAATAATAGCCATCATCAACTCATAAGAGTAACTGCAGCTAAATTCTTAACGACCAGCGGTGGCTTTGTGTGGTATTTGTGTCGTAAACTAGGCAAGGAAACACTAACTTCAACATTAAACCAGACCTGAACCAAATTTTCATTGACCTTAAGATGGGTATTACACTTTCAAGCCTCAGCTGCCGGTCGATCAACTTTTGTATCAACCTGCTATCAGATGATCTGCCCACGTTTGCACTATCAACCGTGAGTCTGGCAAGCCGTTCTGAACGTAGCAGGGGACGGATTACGCACCTTGCGATATATAAATTTGCGCCAGGTATATAGCAGTGTGTTACAAATAGCAGAAATATGCGCATAACAACTTTACTGGACCTAATACACTGCTAGTGACTAATGCTAGGGGCAACGAGCGATTTTTATCGCCCGATCGCGGCGATTAAATCGCCATAGGAATTTAATCGCCCGATCACGAAGGGGCACACGTAGCAAAATTAATCGCCCGATCACGAAGGGCACACGGAGGCAATTTGAGAGCGTACCGTACGCCTTCGCGGAGTTCCACACTTCCAGCCATTTTAACATCACATGATATCAACAACACGTCCGATTGGTTTAGAAAAATCGATCGGGCGACAACATACGCCGGTCACGGGCACACGAGCGATAATAATCGCCCGGCGTAAATAATCGCCCGAAAATATCTAACATTTTGGATACGGGCGATTCGATGGGGCGATTAAAATCGGCGTCAACGTGAACGGGCACACGGGCGAATTTTTCAAGCGATTTTCATATTCGCAGCGATCGGGCGATAAAAATCGCTCGTGTGCCCCTACCTTAAGGCTGCAAGTGTCAGCGGGCCACCGGTGGTTACCTGTTGCCAGTGCCAGTAGCAGTGTTGGTGGTACACGTACAGTAGATACAATAATGTAACCCAACAAGCGTACCTACTCTTGTAAACCTACACTTGTTGGGTTACATTATTGTATCTACACGTACAGTAGCGCTTATGTCGGCTATCTATTTCATACTCGGTGTGTTCGCTCATTTAAGTAAATACACAATGTTAGAGCACAAGTTTAGGGTATAATACATACAAATGAAATGATTTTACACAATGTTTTCGTTGCTTGTTCTGACGTCTGCTGCGCTGAAGCGTATGCCGGTAGGGTTATCACAGTAAATATTTCATATCTGCGAGTGGTGTCATGGCGTCACGACTACTTCCGGTGGCTACGCCTAGCGGCCGCTATGAGCTATATCCATAGTGCGTTCGATTTGCTTTCCCAGAGCCACCTGGGTTAACCTGGGTACGAAATCGAACGCATCTGGGTTAGGGAAGATAAACGAAGGGTTTTTGGGTTAACCCGGGTTAATTATCATGGATGCCAGTGACAAGAAAAAAAGAATAGCAATTGCAATCTTATTATTAATGAAATTATGAACAATGAGCGGCTCAAAGATAGAGAGCATGTCCAGTAATAAACATCATCCTATCCATTCACCGTCCTTGAGCAAACACACGCATTCATTCGCACTGCTACATTCATGCAGCACTGATCCCGCACTGATATCGTCGCCATGCATGGTGTCATTGCAATGGATTGTGGGATACTTCCCCAAGCCCCCCCCCACCAAGTAGCGGCTCGGCGAGCCGCTCACTTCGTCCTCACCCGGGTTGACCCGGGTAACGCAAAAATACCACGTGACTGCCAAATCGAACGTATTTGGGGCTGGCCCGAGCAGACCCAGGTTAACTTGGGGAAGAAAATCGAACGCACTACCAGTTAGTATAACAGATATCAGTGGGCCTACCAAGCCATTTTTGGAGAGAACGATAAGATCTTTTAAACTGTTACACATGTTAACTTTAGTAGGCTTGTTTGGCACTAGGTGGCGTTAGCTTACAGTAGTTTTAATATCTCCAAAGAGCCTATATTGATGACTAACATTGACATCTACGCAAACACATATATGACATCACGTCTTAATGACTTTACACAATGTTCTAGGCTGGTTCAGCGTCTATGTCTTATAAATCATTGTTTATCAGTTTACATAGAGTAAAGGGGTTATGGATAAACAAAATAGGGCATTCACAGGGTAGACTGCCCTCCTGTCCTGGGGGTCATTCTTCCCCAGCATGGCGCTAACTAATCTCTTTAGCCTTGAGTAATAACTTCGTACGTTGCCAACTAATTAATTACGTACGTTCACTCTATAGGAATCTTGTTGGCAACTTTACTACGCGGCCGTGGCGGGTCTTGCCTGGACTGGAGGCATTTCTCTGGGTACGATATCTGTCCCGCTACTGGAATCCTGGGACGAGGTGTCACCTTGAGCATTAGCTGGAGACATATTAGCTGCTTCACTGGAAGCCTGGTTGGACTCCTCATCGCACAGCTTGACCATCCGTCCGGTAGTTAGCTCACGCAGATGGCTGCTGTTTCGTCGTAGGCGTGTTCCATTTGGAGTCTGTACGACGTAACTTCGCGGCTGCTCGTGTCGTGTGACCACTTCCCCGGGACACCAAGTTTTGTTGCATTTGTCTATGATCCGCACTCACGGCCCCACGTGGAGCGGTGATAGGTTAGGCGCGTCTACCCAGCTAACAATATAACGTTGTGGCAACGTTGTCACAACGTTTCACTTACGTTGTGAAAACGTTGTGGTACAACGTTGTGGCAACGTTATTTTGTGGACTCCCCTGAACGTTGCCACAACGTTGTGATACAACGTTGTGGTAACGTTGTGGCAACGTTGTGGCAACGTTATTTTGTGGACTCCCCTGAACGTTGCCACAACGTTGTGATACAACGTTGTAATGTAACGTTCCTGCAACCATGTGTACACGTTCAAATGAATATTAAATGTGTAATTTAATGTTCAAAGCAGAAAAGAATGATGACATGTACATTATTTCATGGGAACATCAGGGAATTTTACATTCATTTAAATTGACATTAATGCGATCTGTAAGCGCAATAAAATACATAATTTTAGTTTGTAACTTTTGCAATAAAAACTAAGTTAATATATATTTCAAATATGTTGCACAACTGGTAGAGTTCAAAAATTAAAAAGGAACACTAACAATTAATAGCTTGACAATTTTTATTTTACATTACTATATACAATAAAGGTAAATTAGATATCTGTATGTATTTAATCCGAATCGTTTTCGTGACCTAAATATGCCTCCCGGTCCCGGCGTTTACGGTTGAATGTTATTGATATATGTTAACGGTGAAACCTATGGCTTGCACAATATTAGGACAGATCTGCAGAGTTCAAGAGGCCAAAAATACATAAGCAATTGTCTACTTTATGAAAACACACTATCACCAGGTTCATTCTCTAAACAATTGTGGTGACTTGGCATTTTTCTCTTTCATGAGTATGGCTCCTTCTCATCAGATTCGAATTCGACCTCTGCTCCACCAACTTAGCATGTGTCAGGACTTTTCCATAGCATTTCTACATGTGAAAAAAAAGATGATTGTTCAACAACAATTTTAACAAAATAATGCCTTGGCCATATAGATGGTATACACAAATGTTATGTATACAAAAATAAGGTTAAATAGGGTATTTTACCTGTGTATGAAAACACTCATCTGGTGCCCAGTCCAGTCCCAGTCCCAAATTATGTCATCTGAAAGATACAAATTGTTGACTTACTAAAGACATAAATTTCACACGTCATATTGCTCTTTAGAGGGTTTGAATTAATTTTGCCACTTCCTCTTTGGAGTAGTAAACTGAAATTTCCTACTTATAAATAATAAACGGAATATTTAAACATTTCTCTATGAAAGCCTGTTTCTATATGTATCTCCTGTCATCGTGGCAGCTAGAGTCTGCTGCCGCATTTTCTCATTCCGATTCTGCAGATGCTCCCTCTCACTGCTTGGTTCGGGCTCACCGTGGCTCGGTAACAGTGTGATGAGTGGACGGCCAAACATCAGCTCTTCTGGGCAAATCTGTATCTACATGTGTGTCGCGTAAATTTAGAAATGCCATTTGCAAATCTTCTCCACTTTTCAACGTCTTCTTTATGATGGGTTTCACATGGCAGATGTGACCGTTGCTTCGCGGGTATAGCGAGGTGAGCTTGTGACGTCATTAATGCTCTATGACTTGACAAATGGTGTGAAGGCTTACCCCGTGTACTGTGTTCTATTGTCAGTCATGAGCTCATCTAGTGTTCCGAGTAGGGTCCCTTATATAAAGAGTTGCGACAACCCAGGATTTGACGCCATATTGTTTCCAAATGAATCCACACCGCTGCCGCTTAAGTACAGCGCTGTGTGGATATACGCTGTACAATGGTTCGTAGTAATTAATTAGACTAATCGTGCTTCAATAGACTCAAAATTCACAGAGATTATAGCTAAGACGTCTATGTGTATTTAGAAATGTAACTCAAATCGTTCGCGCCATATATTATAGTCTAATTGTACACTTTCATACCGCCCATAGCTGTAGATTAGCCTGTGCGATACCGCGCGTAGATACTTGCTATAATAATTAATTAAACCACTCGCGCTTCAATAAACTCAAGAATCACAGAGATCATAGATAACACACGTGTACTTGCACACGCATGCACGCACGTGTGTACTTGCACACGCACGCAGGCACGTCTACGTGCACATGCATGCACGCACGCACGCACGTGTACCTGCACACACATGCACGTACGCACGCACGCACACATGCACACACGTGTACCTGCACAAGCACGTACACACGCACGAACGTGTACCTGCACAAGCACGCACGCACACACGAACGTGTACCTGCACAAGCACGCACGCACGCACGAACGTGTACCTGCACACGCGCGCACACACGAACGCACGCACGCACGCACGTGTAGATGATTTATTTATAACGCTTTATTATGATTGATTTATTCGCACGTGTACGTGCACACACACGGACGCACGCACGCACGTCGCACGCACGTGTACTTGCACACGCACGCACGCACGCACGCACGTCTACGTGCACATGCACACGCGTGTACACACGCACGCACACACACACGCACGCACGCACACGTAGTATAATAGTGTATAGATTGACACGTAGTGTAATAGTGTGTAGCCCTTCGCTCCTTCCTCCTGCGACAGAGCGAAGTGCTATATGCTATAGTATGAGTACGTATACGTACGTATGTAGTATTACGAGATCAAGCCCTGTAGGATGTAGACAACGAAATGAAGATCTATGCGTCACCAACAGAATCTGTCTCTTCGAAGCTTTATTACGTCGATCACCACGAACGTGTACGAAACACCGACGATGACGATGACGATGACGATGACGATGACGATGACGATTACGATTGCGTTTACACTGCATATCCTGATGCCTGTTAATACTGCCGTATATACGCAGAACGATACGCTAATCGTATTATCATTTCCTAACTAATCCAAACTCGGCATCTATAAGCCCAGACCCTCTCATAACTTAAGATTGAGATGAAAATAACACATTTGCACAAATAATTGCAACTATAGTAATATTATATGTTATATTGATGAGTAAAATATGTTTTTTTTATGGGAAATACAACAGAAAACTTACTTATCTAGCGGTCATAAACCAAAACAAACATTTACAATTAGCGTTTGTTCTCTTGTTTTGAGGGTTTTCTTCAGTCAAAGCAAATAGAAGCAGCCAATCAGAAGGCGCTAAATTCTTCCTATGTTATACCGTTTGGGAAAAAAAATTTCCAGTGAAAGGGTTACAAAAATAGGAAAAAGTAGACATTTCCAGAAAAAAAATAGTGAAAAAATAGGCAGCCATTTTGAAAATCCAAAATGGCCGCTTTGTGGTTATGTTTAGCTTATTTTACTTTGTACCACTGGCTTCCTCACCCCTGAAAATGTATGTTTAGCCGTTAAAATCATGACTCTAAGCCACCTGGATGCTGAGATATTGAGAAACACCCATTTTGAAGGTGGCCGTTTCGAAAATTCAAGATGGCCGCTATGCATACTTCCGGCAAATTGTAAACATTGGTTTTCTGATTGCCTATACTATACAAATTCCAAAAATGTATAGGTTCGCAAATCCCCCCAAAAAGTTCACGAAACTTAATATCTGGACTTAGTGAACTTGACTATATATGCCGATCGCAATATCCACAAATGATAGATACGTACTACCCCAAGTACACAAGTACTCTTAAGATGGATACCGGAAGTTCAAGCTGAAGTGACGATTGCAGGGGTTAGAGATAGACTGGTACCGACCTTCACTCCGCCAAGTATCCTTGGCTATACTGAAGAAAGTTAGGGTAGCGTATGCAACTGTGCAGTGGGTACCAGTCTAGCTTAGCCGGCCAAGCCTTGTGCAGGAAAAACTAGTTGAAAATGCTATGTACATAGCCTCGTTGCGCCATCTATCGCACGCCATATGTTCTAGAATAATGTCACGGCGTGAAACACAAAACATTCTAACTCACTTTTCTACAGGAAAACGAAGCGCGCCGAGCAGCGAACCAACAATTACGACCATTTGTAGGAAATGTCTAGCTACGTGCGTAGTCAAAAGGCTTGTGGAATCGCCACAACTGCTGAATTCAGCAATTATGGAGCAATGTTCCTCTATGTAAACCTGTTAAGATTTACTCCAATCGAATGCAGCGCAGTTGTGTTAGTTTGCCGCTACGAGGCGTTTTTTCGTCGTTAATCGGTGCAGATCCGGGCTGCCAATTGTAAAGTACTGCTGATTGTTAATCTCGAATAGATCTGATGCAATGAGCTGCCAGGGTCTGACTGGTGTAGCATGTGGTATAAGTGGCTCCCGCTTATTGGTATCTTGGTGTACCTGGCAAGCTTTGCACGCTCTGCACATGTGCTCGATATCTTTCGATATATTCAGACGTGCAACTGCATGAATCTTAAAAATAATCACATGCGTTATTGTTAATATCTTTAATTTTGAACCTCAGACTACGGACTCCCTCATTTTGCTGCGGACTCCCTCATTTTAAGGGTAGGGAGTCCGTTGGTTCCCTTGTTCAAAAGTTAATTTCAACCTCCTGTGAAGGTATATTGTATATAGTACATTTCTACGAAATAATAAACGAAAATGTCCATGAATAAACAATAAATCAGAAGAAATCATAAACAGCAATTTCATACACGCAGGGGCAATCTCAGCGACATCCACGTACGGAGTGGGGTCACTATAGAAATAATATAGATAACCTGATATGGTTATTTATATTATTTCTATGGGGGTCACACGTCGCCACACTTTTTAACCGGGTGCTCCAGGAAGCTTTTATTCTTTTATATCTCGCTGTTTTATTCCCATCTTTTATTATCGTTGTTGTTATTCTCCTGATAGCTGTCGGAACGCGAGGAAAGGGAAAGTGGCGCCATCTATAGGCATCGTGGCCTTACTTTCCTCGTCTGTGCAGAAGCCCGAAGCTCCGTCTCGGAAGCAGCATCTTCAGCATGTTTCATGAAAAAATTCAAAAATTCATATCATTTCTGACAAACAATCTACACCTTTCCAACTCTTAGTCATTTAAACAAAGGTCTGATTGTCGTTTATCGACTGCGATGTGTAACAATCGCACGTACGTATCACAATTACATCAATTACCTTGGGTTGATCAATTAATCAATTGATTAATCAATTAATCACCAGAAACGAGTGTTTGATTATCATGATCATGATTGATCATATCTGTGTATTCTCGATATAGATACGAACGCATCCATTTTGTGAATCAGTCTTTATTCAATGATGATCTTATCTTATTATATCTTATAATTATTATATCTTTATATCTTATATCTTATGTTATCTTATTAGATAGATATCGAACATTGTATCCGTTTTTACAATCGCTGGGATGTATTAAGATTGACTTTGTTCTGGCCTACTGTATAAGCTGTATATTTCGCGGTTTAATTTTCGCGAATTTCGCGAACGCGTCCCTGACGCGACAATAGCAACACGCGAATAATTCATACCGAATAATTCATAGTTCACCAACCGCAAAATTAACCATTCGCGAAGTTTGAATTTGCGAAAACATCTGTACGCGAAAAATATGGCGTATACAGCATTTAAAACATTCTCGACGTTGCTCGTGTTGTAGAAGCGTGGCAGCGAAGAAAAGAGTGGCAGTCCTGCGAAGCGCTCGAGGAAGCTGGCTAGCAGATCTCCCGTAGTCGCTTCGCTAGACGTGATGGAGAGCGACGAGGAAACCTTCTACTACACTCCGCCGCAGAGCCGACCGCAGCTGATGCGGCTGCAGCACACAGACCTACCTGTCACGTTCAGTAATGCATCTGATGTTCATGTTTTCTACCACCAGGTGTCAGTTGTAGTACCACCACGGGCCCACGGCCATAATGTAATGCAACGGAGAATAAATATTGTCAACTTTATCTACAATCATCTGCTTATCTATTCACCATAACCATCACCAGATGCGTGTTCAACAGCGCAAACGCTCGCGTGCGCTTGCATTCTGAAGGACACCGCGCGGTCGAGCGCGCGCGAGTTGTTTTCAAGATGGGGTAGGGCAATCTGGTGAATGTGAATCTAACACTTCTGACTTCAATTTCACTCTGTTTCAACTTCATTTTATTTTTCAATCATTCATTCACTTCTGAATTCAGTTCATATCAATTTTGTCTGCTAATTCGTTTAACAAGATTTGTTCGAAGACATTAAAATCCCGCGATGAAATCTGCCGAGGAAGCCGCCATCTTGGATAAAGCGAGTGCTCGGTACATATAGCTCGGTGTCGTTCAAGTGGCACTGCGTTCGTGCTGCGAGCGTTCGCGCTGTTGAACACGCCTC